ATCTACGCTTACCTATATACTCACGCATATATAAAAATGTATATACATGATAAGTTATATAAATGTATGCGAAATATATCTGTAAATGTATATGTATATATTTCAGAAACTGTTTGTCAAGGCTGATAACAGATGCAGTAATCACTGCTTGTATATGCAGGTTAATTATAGAGATGTGCATTGCTCATATATTTTCCATAATTAACGTATTTCCATAATCAAGCAGTAGCTGCTGCATTTATTAGTAGCCTTGACAAGTAGGTTTTGAAATAACTATTGTCATGATGGCAGACTATATATATATATATATATATATATATATATATATATATATATATATATATATATATATATATTTCTTCTGTGTTGTATACGCACTCACATGTAATATACGCATAGGACGTTCAATAGTGAAGATAAAAAGCCAATGATACAGGAAAAAATACAAAGAATATAAACATTGAAAAGAGATTTAGCAGAAGAGCGAATGAAGTTGTAGTGATAAACAACCAATATCAAATAAATAAAATCCTTTTGTAATTAAATTTACGATGGATTTGTTTTCACGTCTAATGCGATTTCTTGAAACATCAAAATACAGTCATTGTTTAAAACTCGTTATTTTAAGTCTGATGGAAAATAACGTAATCTGCTGAGCGGATAACGAAACTTGTTTCAACAAAATCAAGGTGAGAACAAGTGTTTGTACTGTCTCAATTCCCCGAGACAAATACAACGTCATTTGTTCTATTCCTCTGTAGTGTCAGATAGTTCCAGACAAATATTATGCTTTATTCACTGAATATATTAGATTTGTTTGCGTGAAAAGAAAATGCGAATGAAAGCACTGAAGCTTGTTAAAATCTCGGCAAATCTGAGGAGCAATATCATCTCACGTAAAATAGTTATGGATGTTTTGTTTGCATATGACGATATTGCTGTTTAGCAAGCCGTGTTCTATATTGCTTGGGTTTTAAGGTTATTTCCTGTAACAGTGAGAACGGTTTGTTATTAAAAATGATTCTTCAAACAATGTAACTTTACCTTTCAGGTTCAAGAATATCTCACTGTTGTAGAGTTGAAAATTTTTAAAAAAAGACATAATGATTGCATTGCTTTGGAATTATAAAATATTATTTTTATGCATTTGCATATATGATATTTATGCTTTGAGGATTATTTTCATTTTTAATCCCTTTGCAAAAAATAATATATGTAAATAGATTTATTGATGAAATAAAGAACAAATAAGAAACATTTAACACTTACGAATATACATTATCATCTGAATCTGACATAGACATACTAGAATTATTATACAAATGCATACAAAAAGCAATATTTAAGGCTTTTCAGATTGACTTGGAATCCATTCATTTTTTGGAGCTTTGAATGGACACGTCGTCTCTCTTTCAATTCGGAACGCCAAAACTTATACTAACGTTTGTTTAACAAGTCGAATACACGTTCAACATGATTAACGAATGAAAATCAAACAACACAAAAATAAAAATGCCAGAACACTATTTACATTATTCGGACTATTGTCCTCATTTTTGTTGCCATATTTATTAGAACGTTTCTGCCGTTATACACGCCGGCCTTCTTCAGGTGGATGAAATGTCGAACTGAACCTTTATTCCGCTCACTGGGGTAGACTGTTCTAGTTCAAAGTGCCATGTCTAATGGATGTCAGTTGTCAATTATCTCCAGTTAATTCCCCTCTGAAAGTTCTCCACCGCCTTAACTCACACTCTTTGGGTCCTGTCAATGGATCAAAAATACCAGAATTTCTTTCTTTTTTTCTTCATATCTCATTCTCTGATTAACCTTTAATAAAATTGAATATATTAGATTGATATACGTTTTCTATTTCTTTTTTTATCTTACCATCCTGTCGAATTCAGATTTATATCTAATCTACATTTGATCTTTAACTCTTAGATTTAAAGAAAATTGTTTTAAAAATAAAATTGCTAGAAAAAGTGCACACTATAAACAATTTATGTTCCACGGTAATTAATAACATCGTATAACTAAAAAGAAGGTAACCTCCTTCCTTACCTGAATAAGGTGGTCAGCTGTGCATGTGTACATCTTTACCCCAGGGAAGGGACGAAGGCGCACCAGTGTCCTGTGGGAAAGCTGTGGTTGCAGTATGAAGGTTTGTGTAACATTCTGCTGGGAAAATTTCTATGGCAACAATGTCAGTGTAGTGGCATTTTTTAATCGAGTTAACCCCAAGCACTGAGACACAAAGAGTTACTGGGTGTGGAAAAGTTAGAAACAGGAACATTGATAAGCAGGGAGAACTAAAAAGAAATCAGAAGGTCAGTAGATAGAGATTGGCATTGTATTTACATTTTTTCCAGATTAAAGTTGGCTGGAAAGCATGAAGCCGGAAGTGAGTTCCACAAGCAAGAAGTGCGACAAATGAAACTTTTAGCATCGAAAATACGATTACATCAAACCAAATCAGCTGTATACTGGTGAAACCTCATCGTCTATCTACTACTGCGTTTAAATTGAAAGAGTCTAGAAACCATAGCGAAGAGCACATCCGAACAATTTCGAAAGGAAAAGGATAAGGCCGTCTATCATATTGCATGAGTTATACCGGAACGGGATCAGGAAGCGGAAGTAGATTTCGCTGTTACTCTAGACACGAATATCCTGCCATTTTCTATCTCATTTCATCATTTCATTACGGAATATGTTGGCTCAAGTTAATTAAGCAGGACATCTACCATGCAGCAGATAAATGACCTGCCGTCAGAAAACTGGCGTCAGAGCTGCTGATCAAGCATAGGGAAAAGAGTACTGTCACGTGATATCTGCTTTCATATATGGCAATGAATGCTGGACAATTTCCCCAGGGATAAAGACTTCGTGAAAGAACAAAAATATGGTTCTACAGAAAGATATTGAGGATACCATGTACCAAATAAGTGGTCAACGAGGACGTTTTTAGAGGAAATGGAAAAAAAAGAAAACTTAACATCAGGAAGAGACAGCTGAAAATTCTAGGGCTCATAATGAGAAAAAAGCTTGTAAAATCTGATGCTTACAGGACACATTGAGGGCAAGAGGGACAGAGAAAAACAACGCATAATATAATTGACGATTTTGTGTAAATTGATGGCGGAATAGGGTTTCGGAGAGATAACGAAAAGACATAATTTATTAAGAGCTACAAAGAACAGGAAATTGTGGAGAGTCATAATCGCCGACGTCCTGAGGAGACACGACACATAAAGAAAAGACGAATAGACTAACACTTTATAAAGAGGTGGTTACAACGTTTTGGCTTATCCATGTATTATATATATATATATATATATATATTCATTTTTTGTGCTTATTAACATATTAAAAATCAGGCATCGTACGGCATTTTGATTGTGAGAAATAGATAAAAATATTAAAAATTAATGGATGAGTGAATAATTTCGTCGTTGACTTTCTATATATATATATATATATATATATATATATATATATATATATATATATATTATATATATCTGAAATAGAAGGGGCTCTATAATAAAAGATTAAAACATAATTGAGAAATATGATTGTGAAAAAGTGAACTGTTAAATAAAAGAAAGAAAATTTCCGACTAAAAAGAAACAAAATTATGTTATCCGAAAAACAGAAGTGAAAGAAAAGAAAATGTTGATAACAGGAGAAAATAAAACTTAGTTTAATAATAGAGCTTTGAAATAAACAGTTGTCAAAAACTGAGTCCTGTGAAATAAAAGTACCTGTTAAAATAGAATTGTGTAATAAAGGTGAATAGTGAAATAAAAGAACCTATTAAAACAGAATTATGAAATAAAGGAATAGTAAAAAAAAGAACCTGAATAAAACAAAAGAATTTAAAACAGAAAATAAAGGTGAATAGTGGAATAAAAGAACCTGTTAAAACAGAATTGTGAAATAAAGGTGAATAGTGAAATAAAACCTGTTAAAACAGAATTCTGGAATAAAGGTGAATAGTGAAATAAAAGAACCTGTTAAAACAGAATTCTGGAATAAAGGTGAATAGTGAAATAAAAGAACTTGTTAAAACAGAATTGTGAAATAAAAAAATTGGGAATAAAAGATAAATGAGAAATAAAACAGAATCATGAAATGAAAGCTGTTAAATGATATTTTTGAAATAAAAGGGAATTGTGAAATAAAAGGGAATTGTGAAACATGTCCATGCACAATGTATATATTGATTTTTTTTTCTCCTTTTTAATATTCCAAACAATATTTCTTTCTAACTTCACCATTGAGAAAACGAAATAAGACAAAACAAGATGGAAAACAATTGCAAACTAACATTGTAATGAATGACCTGCGTTACAACCTTTAACTTTATTGCTTCGAGAAGATGATAAAATAAAATTCATAAAAGTGATTTATGTGACAGATTCATTAAATTTTCCAATCGATTGTCCAAATACATTACAAGCGAAAAATTTGTATTTTAACTCTAACAAATAAATCCAAATCATAAATAATGAAATAATAAAACACAGATGCAAAGATATGGTGTGATAGAGAAAATGATGGCATGAAATTTTATTACAAGTTTCCTGAGGTGATGAGACTGACGACAGATTACGGAAAGATGGTTTCTGCAATAAAAAGATAGTTTGACACAAAAGAGTAATAAATTTTTTTTTCTGAGCAAAATCAACACGAAACACAAACAAACAAAGCGTAGACATTACATTAAAGAGAATAACAACATTGTCACACTTTATGGATTGAATAATTTCTGTTTTTCTTTTATTTTTTAATAATTCAACTGTGTAAACAATCAACGCGATAGAGGAAATCCAAGCTTGTCTTAAAATGTTTAACATGAACTTGTAGTGGTTTAGTCTTCAAACTTTCTCTTGTCTTTCTACGCTTAAAATTAGAATTAAGAACGCAAAATCAGAAGCACAATTTTAAGATATTACAACGTTAATTAACTGAATGCAGTTCCAGATTTTCAAAATCTATTGAAGCGAACGAGAAGGAAAGAAAAAGCGAACAAGAGAGAGAGGGGGAGAGGGAGAGTGAGCAAGAGAGAGAGAGAAAGCAAGCAAAAGAGGCAGAGAGAGAAAGAGAAAGAGAAAGCAAGAGAGGCACAGAGAGAGAGATGGAGAGAAAGAGAGAGAAAGCGAGCAAGAGGGGCACAGAGAGAGAGAGAAGGAGGAAAGAGAGAGAAAGCGATTAAGTGAGGCAGAGAGAGGGAGGGTGCGCAAAAGAGAGAGAAAGCAAGCAAAAGAGGCAGAGAAAGAAAGAGAGGGAGAGAGAGAGAAAGCGAGCAAGAGAGGCAGAGAAAGAGAGAGAAAGCGAGCAAGAGAGGCAGAGAGAGAGAGAGACGGAGAGAAAGAGAGAGAAATCGAGGAAGAGAGGCAGAGAGAGAGAGGGAGGGAAAGAAAGAGAGAGAGAAAGCAAGCAAAAGAGGCAGAGAAAGAAAGAGAGGGAGAGAGAGATAGTGAGCAAGAGAGATAGAGAGAGAGGGAGTGAAAGAGAGGGGAGAAAGAGAGAGAAAGCGAGTAAGAGAGGCAGAGAGAGAGAGAGAAAGTGATCAAGTGAGGCAGAGAGAGGGGGAGAGGGAGGGGTAGCAAGAGAGAGAGAAAGCAAGCAAAAGAGGCAGAGAAAGAAAGAGAGGGAGAGAAAGAGAGAGAAAGCGAGCAAGAGAGGCAGAGAGAGAAAGAGAGAGGGAGGGGGAGAAAGAGAGAGAGAGAGAGAGAAAGCGAGCGAGCGAGAAAGAATATAGGAACCATCATTGCATGGTGACTTGTCAGTTTCATGCGTTAAGTAAAATTCAAACCAATTTCATTGTATTGAGCGCTCTTCCGCATAAAGAGAGCAGTTTTTAACACTCCCCTATTTTTTTCATTCTCGCTCTCTTTCTAATATATATATATATATATATATATATATATTCAAATTTCCATGATATATGTTTAACTTAATTAGCTACTATACTTCCATAATATTTACTCCTCCTCTAATTCTTCAAATGTCGAATATATAACTAATTCTAATTTCTATATTTTCCCCACTTCTATTGTCTCTTTACACTATATTAATTATAATTCATAAACTTTCCCCTACTCTAAGATCTCTTTAACTCTCATTCCATTAATCCTTTACATCCTTTTATCTATAGTTATTTTTAAACCCGTTTTTATTCCTCTTTTAATTTTAAATAAATATTTCATTCTTCATATAGCTCCAAATTAATATCATAAGGTTAATATTCGGGTTTAATTTCATAAAACTTCTTCCCTTTAAGACAAATAACTTCCACCTTCTCTGACCCCTAACTCGTGCCTTTCGTCTGATTGAAACACTAAAATGGATAAATTATGTGTTAGTTTTTCGACTGTTTTTTTTTTTTTTTTTTTTTTTTTTTAGCTTTCACAGATAAATTTATATTTCTGACACAAACTTATTCCACACCGGGGTTGATAAGACAGACGACCGATATCTTCGTCTGCCGAAATAGGCTATTCTCCACATGAGATGTTTTTGTATTTTATTGTTTATTAATTATTTGCTCTGTAATAATAAATACATTGAGCTCTTTTTGTGGATCAGTTTTAATATTTTATATTACTAGGATCCACTTGGATACCCATATTTGAGTAGACGTTACGTTTATTTTTATTAAACAGTATGTTTATTTAATTTCGTCTACTGGCCTGAATATTAAAGAAATCTTACTAAAAAAAAAAAAAAAAAAAGATTCGTCATCCGGTAGGATTAGAACCTGCGTCCGCCTTGCAGGAGAAACTATCGTTAAATCCAACTCGGACACAAAATCTCTCGCCGACCGAGCAAAGTCGCATGATGCTTTTCAGCGAAAGTTTCAAAGAAACATTCATAGTTTGCTTAGCTTCGTATCATGGCGGAAACAAAGAAAATTCTAAAGTAGTAATGGCTGATTATTTTTTTTACTCCGACAGATTTTATCAGTTAAATCTTATTTTTCTGTTTAATAAATATGGTATCCACTAAAAATAACATTTAAGTGCTAAAATCTGTCAGATTAATTACTTCTTTAGAAATATATATATATATATATATATATATATATATATATATATATATATATATATATATACATGGCCCAGTGTGTGTGTGTGTGTTTATACACATGGCCCAGTAGATAAAAGCCTTGGTTGAAGTAATCCAGTAATTTGATGTAAAGAGTTGTGAGTTAAATATCCGGTCAATGCAGAGGTGGATGAGACTTGGAGAGATGAGTTACTTAAGGGAAATAACTGGAACTGATATACCCAGGAATGGCACGTGGACGAAAGCAGCGAACGAAATAAACGGTTCGAATCGAAATTTCAACGTATATAACCTGAAGAAGTCCGGAGCGTAAAAACGGCCGAAACGTCGTGAATGTGACAATAAAGATGAAGACAACAATGTAAATAGTTGCAATACCAATAGCTCATTTCAGATATATGTATAAATATGAATATATAAATATCGCATATTTATTATCAATAATTATCATTATATATATATATTAGGTCGGTGCAAAATAATGACGTAAGAATGTCGTTTTTTAACGTATTTTTAACGTCAAAAAACGACATTATTACGTCATTATTTTTGCACCAACCTAATATATATATATATATATATATATATATATATATATATATATATATATATATATCAGATTTAAGAAAACAGCAGATATTTCATAAATATTACACAATATTAAAAATAAAATATTACAATTAAATTAAAAATAGAACGTTAATAATATTATACGAAAAGATTACTTAACTTTTAAATATCAATTTTACCCCGACTTTGAAGTTTCTTGGTAGAATTTCCTGTCTTACGGGGTTCTGGTTTTAAAACAGTTTTCTAAATTATTTCAATTTTTTAATATGTTCCGCGTCTTTTTCATTCTGCTTTTTTACCTCATTTTGTACACGTTCGTATTCATGAATTTAACTTTCTTTTACACACGGACGTTCATGAAATTTTGTTTTTCTTTACGTCTTTCTTTTTTTTTCAGCTGTAGAATTTTCTTCCAGTTGTAAAGTTTTCTTCAAAATTAAATTTTTCTTCGAAATTAAATTATTTTTATGTTTTATGTAGAAGTTGTTATGTAAAATTATTAATTAAATTTTAATAGTTGTTTTTTGATTATACAGGGTGACCCCCAAAAAACGGCAATTATTGAAGTGCTTATTGCCAGACACGAGCAAGTGGCAACACTGCGAGACAGTGACCTTGAGCAAATAAACATTTCGCCATTTAGAATTCAAGATGAAATTCACAGTATCCCAGCTGAGATGTTTCAGCAGTCAATGAGGAATCTCAACTGCAGATTTCAAGAATGCATTCGTACAGGAGGACGCCATCTATAGGACGTAATTTTTAAAAAATGAAAATTCCATCATTGTTTCTTAAATGGCATGTTTTAAGGTTCCAATTACTATGAATAAAATATTTTTCTTCCATCACTCTTGGTTTTATTGGATTGTTAAAAAGTTCCCGTTTTTTTGGTTCACCCTATACTTTCTCCTCACTAAAGTCTCTTTCACTCCCAGCTTGCGTCTTAGTGGCATTATCGCCTTGCTTGGAGTTAACTGAGTTTAAAAAAATCTATTATCTAATATAAAGTGGCTTGAAATAGTCCAGAAGATAGTAAAACAATAAAAAATGTTCTTCAATAAATGTTCATGATGAAAATTTAAAAAAAAATATACAATTTTTACATAATAAAGTTATTGCGCTCACCCAATATTTATTAATTTATTTATAAAGATCGACAGACTGATAAGGTAGATATAAACAGATTAAGATAGGTCTAATTAGGTTGTTAATGATATTTTCTGTCTGATATAGAGTTCTTGAAAAAAACATGTAAAAATTAAAGAATAGTATATTGATTAAATTAGTATCACCTAAACGAGCCTACGCGAAGAAAGCATTATGTTAATTAAAATCATGCAACGTGAATACCACGATATGTTTTTTTTTTTTTTCATTTTTTTCCATGATTTTGTAGATTATTAAAGTCTGGAGAGACTAAAAATGCCGATTTGATTGATAAAATGTGCGATATATATATTCATTGAACACGATATTTTTGTGGGTAAATTAAAGAACCTCGGGGAATTAGGATTTGAAAATCAATCTATGTTCAATTTTTCTTATTATCGTTATAAGAAAAATCATTTCCTTATAATTATCGATATCCTCATATTGAAAATCTCACCTTTAATATCTATAATCTTATATGAGGTAAAACATGGCATGAGAAATAATTAACATTTTACAGTAATAACCGTTCCACGTGTTTAGTGCGTGGGGCTCATTAAAGGCATATGACATATAAAAAGCATATGACACTCATATAAAAACACAAATTGAAAAAGAAGAAAAGGTGAAAAGGATGATGAATGAGATAAAATACGAAAATGAAAAGTGAGGCGAAAAGTGAAGGAATTAAGGAAGAAAATGTATAAAAAAAGAAAAGGCGAAAAGTATAATTCGAAAAAATGGGAACAAAAAGGAAGAGAATAAAAAAAAATTGAAATAAGAGAATAAAATTCGAGGAGCATTATGTTAATTAAGTTGGTTAATTGAACGACATATCAAACTTTATTGGGTTGCTTAATATCGAATATAGATTTTATAGGATAAAAAGTACAATGAATTAATAGGTAGATAGATGTAGATTCAGTTTGAACTAGCGTCAAAAAAGTAGGCAGAGGTCCGGTGTGCGCTAGTGTCAAAAAATAGGCATAGGTTCACGTCTGCACAAGATTAAAAATGGTAGACAAAGGTTTGGTTTGAACAATATTCAAAAAATTAGACACATGTTCTATTTTTATAATATTAAAAACAGATGGACATAGATTCGGTTTGCACAAGATGAATACAAAATGGACATAAGTTCGATTTACAGAAGATTAGAAAAGGTATAAGTTCGGTTTGCACAAGTTTAAAAAAGATAGACATAGGGTCGCAGCGTCGACTGTGTCGTTCGATCCCGTTCGCGGCGCCAATTGTGACGTCACGTGCTCCCCAGGCTCTGATATCCTGGTCACGGACAGCACCAGTTGTGACGTCTTTTGTCGCGGCGTCAGCTGTTCGCTCCTCGCTGCTCCAAACGTGACGTTCTAACCCTTTGGTTAGATTGATACCAGCCTCGTCGTTCTCAACCCGCTTCCAACGCCTGGTTACCAGGGTAACTGCACTGATCTCCGGTCTGCCTACCCACGTTGTGACTTGATCTTAGACAGACGAGATCAAACAGGGCTTGGGGCCGTAATGCAAGTTGAGTCTAACGGGGGTGATAACACACAATTATGTATAAAAAAAAAAAAATAAAATAAAAACTCACAAGGTCCAACGCATCAAGAAAAAAAGGTAACAAACTTTTATGTCTATTTGCTCGGTACATAGGACTATGTCTACTTCCCGACCCGTTCTGTGGATTGTGGCACGACGCTTTTACTAGGCAACTTTAAGGCTTCCAGTTTTCTGCTCTCTAAGAAATTTGTGTTTCGGCGTGTCCTTGGACGAAAGTCGAAAAAAAAAAATTATTTCTGTGGTCTGATTTTAAGTCGCTCTTCAAACTACTTGTTCTTGGTTGAAGAAGAGTCCAGAAGTGTGCGTGAATCTTGGTTAGCTATCTTGACGCGGTTTCAACACTGGGCGCTCATCTCTGCTTGTCGTTCACGGCTCAAACTCCAACTCCTCTCGCCGTCCGCTCTCAAACTTCTACTGAACTTCT